CGTCTTGAAAACTTGTTTCATTACGTAATCTTTTATTATTCTTATTGGCAGTGGAAATCTTTCTTTTACGCACATTAGTGCTTGTAGACCTATATCTTGTTGCTAAATAAATAAAAAAATATATAAACTTTGATGTATATAGTTTTAATAAAAAATTTTAAAATAATGTTTACCTCTTCTATTTGACGCAGTTTGTTGTCTTTTAACCTACTTTTGTCATTTCTTGTATATGGTATACCCGAATTCTTGTAGGTTTGTTTAATTTTTAATAACCTTTCATCATATCGCCTTTCACTAAAAATATGTAAATAAATTAATAAATAATTTCGTTATAAATAATTTTATATAGTTAATAATATTACCGTAGAATAGCTGATAAAAGTTTTAATTGTTTTCCTCCTTATTTGCTAATGCATGAGCCGATTCTGCAGAATTGGTATTGTCATCATGTTTTCTCCAAATATTACGCTCCATTTTAGACATATGTACATTCAATGAAGAAATTATCCAAGGTGTTTTATAATAATTGGCCCATTCTAATTATTTTTTTTTAAATTAGCATAATTATTAATTTTTTAAAAAATTTAATTTTATTATATTTACCTTTAGCACCTGGCTTATCTGATAATTTGATTTTATCTAAAATTGATTTGACTAATTCTTGTGAAGGTGCATTAAGGATCGACTTAGCTAAATCATAAATTTCTTGTGAAAACCATTTGTTAAACAAATTTCTAATTATAAAATAAATATATAATTAGTTATATTATTAAAATACAGCCTAATCTTAATATAATTATCGAATTGATAATAAAATTCAATATGACTAAAATGGTTATTTTGAGACTAATTACCGTTTAAAATGAATGGTACAAGATTTAAATATATGCATTAAATGCATTTCCCAATCTCGTGATGGATCTATATTATACAATGCAAGCCCTAATCTTTTCACTTGCGCAGAACCAATCTCCTATTATATATTTCCAACCTTTTTGATGAATGTGATGAATATATATATTTTCATTAGTGAGTTCCTGAATTGTTTCAAATAAAGTACAAAATAGTTTTTTGTATCCCTCAGCCGATGATATATTCGTATATATTCTGCAATAACTTAAAACTATCATTTTATTAGTATATACAATAATATCTATAAATCGTAAAATAAAAATACTTACTTAATTTATTTTTGGCATCGTATGTATTAATTTCGAATTCATTTATATCACCCTTAATACGTTTAAAAGCCAAATCAATTTGAAAACTTTTTAAATTAATTAACAATTCGGCCTGCTGTTTTAACATGCAGATAATTAAAATAAGGCCAGAATCAATCTATTCTAAATAATAAAAAAATTTAATAGTTAAAATAATATATAAAATATGAATTTACTAAAATATATATAGTGCAAAAATTTGGCAACACTATTAGAATATGTAAATTAATCATAAATGCAAATCTAACAAATTAACTAAAATCTGGATCAAAATAGTAGCCCACCTACATACTAAGTAATAATATAGATAGCTAATATTATTGTCAAATACTAGTCTAGCTTTAGCCTATACTGGCTCTAAATTTTGACAAATTGCTAAATTTTTAGCTGCATAGGCTAATTATCCAGTTTTATAAAACTTTTTTGGTTTAATCCAGAATATCGAAAACTCAAAGGTTATAATATGTATATGCTGCCAAATTTTTGCACTACATTATTTAATTTACCTATATGATGTAAATAGTCTTTTATTTCAGAATGATTATTCTTTGCCGTATGAAAAACACCTAGAATATCTCGTCCATAAGGATGCATATTTTTATATGCTTTGGCAACTAAAATATGCAATGTATCTATGCTATTTAGTGACTAGTGAACTTCAGAAAGCATTTTGAATTTAAAATAGGCCTTTATTAAGTTGTCTAAAAAATTAATACATATTATATTAAAACTCAAATTTTTATTTATATAATACGTATATGCTATGTCTTAGAATTGACTTGTCTTAGATAGTTAATATTACTATATAGCATTATTTATAAGTAGTGTTATACAGTAATTAATCAGAATTGATTGGTCTAAATTATATCTTTATAATTAATTCTTATTTTAATATAAACTGATCAATACTTAAGATAAATTAAATATATGATATATGATATATTTAAATTTAGTATAACAAAAATTTACTTGATTGAATAGCTCGTGGAGTAATTATATCATTGTCTTTAATCACTTGAGAAATTAAAGATTGAAGGCTTAATTTAATATCTACAGGTATTTTTTCTGGAGCCGGAGGTGGATGGTTATGTGTACCAACACATACTATTGCAATAAACAGACAAACTTCAAGATTTTGTAGTATAAATTTATAAAATTTTACTGGGCAATGCTTTTGAATAATCTCTCCACGGTCAATATTTCCATTAGACAACTGATGAATATAATCTAATTTATATATTACATAAGTTAAATAAATAATATATTTAAAAAAAAAAAAAATTATTATATGTATACGTACCACATTTTTTTCTTTTGGATGATCGATGCAATAAAGTTATACAATAAGGTAATTCTTCTTGTATCTATAAAAAATAATAAATATATTAATTAATATATTAATGATTTATATAAAATATATAAATATATAATTTATATTAACAAATACCACTTCTTTTTCAAGAAATAAATCACGAAAAAGTACAATATCAACATTTTCACTATTGATTTTGGTATAACGATGCCATTGATCTCCAATACGATACATTGAGCAGCCAATAAACCATTGATATATATTTTGTATATCCTAAGAAATGCGTGATTTACATAAAATTGGTTTTCCAGAACCTGTACTTCCATTATCATATTTGAATTTACAAGAAGTATCTTTAGCAGCCAAATATGTACTGAATTTGAAAAAACAATTTTAGCATTAGTAAATATTTATTATTAAAATATAAAAAATATATATATATTTACACGTAGGTGTGAGTTTTTTTAGAATTGATGTTTTGATTTTCAGTAATTTTTTTCCACAATGAAGATTCAACATCGACCTTATTGTGTTCAATGCTTGTAAATGAAGGATCAGTAAATTGACAAACTTTAATTCTCAAACAATCATGCTCTTTTTTATTCACTTGAACGTTTCCAAAATATGGTGACTTTTTAATTACATAGATTCTACCACCACCCATAGAATATTGAATCTAAATATATAAATAAATTAAAAATATATTAATTTTTAAAAATTAAAAAAATATATTTATATATTTATATTTTTCCATGCGTGGTTTGGATCAGCCCAATCTGCAATATAAAATACTGTTGCAACACCTTCTGGCGATGTAGCTGGGTATTCTACAGGTATACTAGAATGGATAATAGTTTTTATATGAAATCGGGATATAAAACATACAGTTTCTGGGATTTTTTCTTCATCATTGATCAATTCTTCATTGTCTACTAACGACTCTACTTCTGATTCCTGATAATAATTTCAAATTTATGAAACAAGATCGTATTTACTAT